TCGCCAAGACGTGTAGGATTGATACCCCTAGCATACAGATTTCGTCGCTTCTGAGCAGGTGCTGCTTCCTTCCCCAAGGTCCCCCTATAGCGCCCTATGAAGCTGCTGCTGTTTCGCTTCATTTGCGAAGTACGGTGTGAAGTGAAGTGATGGACATGAAGCAGCTGCGCTTTGGATATATTAGTACATACATGTAGCCGTATCTACGATAGCGGTCATTGGCACGGTGCCAACGGGATACTCGTTCCAAAATTGCTTTTTGAATCGAGCAGAACAGAGGGGTTTTTCAGGTTTTCGGCAGTTCGCTTCACTTTTTTCGCGTTTTTCCCCGCGCTATATAGCACCCCTGTAACCATTTTAGACCGGGTACTAAATATCCCTTATGCCTTGGAGGCCTAATTGAGCAAATTTCTTCTGTGGGTCGGGAATATCTCGCAACTGAGTCATATGGCGAAGGAAGACGTAGGAGGAGCAGATTGGGCGACATGTTGATGCCACTCGGCCCGCTACTTGGGAACAGTTCAGAAGTTCAAAGCCAATAAGTGGTCGCATAACACTAAAACACTGATTTAATTTGTAACTTTTCAGAGATTGTGCATCCAATCAATCAAACTAGTAGTATTCAAGAGGAGGGGAAATGTAGTAGTAAGTTGTTCCGAGTGCTTTGAATTATCAACTTTTGGACCTTTTTGCATTGGTAAGTCGACGCTCTAGAAATATAGCTATGACGTGAGAATTTCAGTCTACTGTCATGTAAATAACACGTTCGGATCTCACTCATCGGAAATCAACGATCCACCACTTATCTTCGGCCTAAAATTCGATGACATTTGGCAGTTACAGGTTAGTGATCCTTACTGTTGAATAACGTTGACTCATGTTGCCTACTTCGCTTGTGGGCTTGAAGAACACCAAAACGTAAGAAGCACCATCAAGAAGTATGTAAATTAGTCAATAGCCTCCCTCCGCCGGCGAGCAGGCGAATCGTCACGTATCCACCCTTCTCGCTAGATGCAACAGTTAGTTCCGGGAGGGGGGGGGGTTTCGTACCGTGGCCTCGTTTCGGAAGGGCGGGGTCGTACTGACACCACTATTCCACACATCACAATGCTGTACCCGTTGGTATATATTCCATTTTCACTTTGGATTTATCACTCTTCAACCAAAATAACCACTTTCCAAACCGAAACCACCAATCTTCAGATCGAATTCACAACATTTTTTAGACAACTGAATTAAATCTTGCAAATCTCGCAAGCCCCGCCCCGACAGCGCGCCTACTTTATGCGATCACCAGTCGGATCGCCCGGCTGACGCCGAGCTCTCCTCCTTCTTTTTAGCTCGGCTTCGCCGAGCTGGCCTGGCTTCGCCAGGCGCGCATAATTTGAACGCAACTTTCTCCACTATGTGTTGTATGGGCTTTATGGCGCGGACCACACCCCTGCTGCAAATATAAGTGTATGGTATTCATTCACGGCACCTATCCCCGATCTAAGCTCAGCCATCCCCCACTCAGCCACCCTAAGGGTCACGTGCAGCTGCTACGTGAATAGCCCGTGCAAAGACTCTGAGTACACTAAATGGTTGTGTTATATTGTGAAGGGTGTTATGACTATCGAAATTATGACTATCAAAACGCTACCACAATTTGGTAATGCAATATTACTCGGTTCATTTCCGAAGGCGGTCTGTTTTCTTCTCTTACCACGTCTGTAAAGTCTTTATCGCCGCAGTCGCTGCTACTGATCGCGAGATCGTCGCACTCATCTGGTACCTCCTCACCACATCATATCCCACTCACCCTACTGCACGTGGTCACTACCATGTGAGCAGCTAGCGCAACATAGGACACTCTTCCGCCGCTGCTCTTACTACCGCCCTGCTCACATCCAGATTCTAAGCGAGCAGCTCGTGTAATAGCTCAGAGTCTTAGCAGAGAGCGATACCACGATCCAAGCAACTTCTTAGTTCGTTGCTGTGACACGGATTACCTTGCAGTTTTGCTAGCAGTTCCTTCTCTTTTCTCTTGCTGCCTGCTCCTACGCTACACACCGCATCGCTGTACCCAGTTTGCCCGATCCAATCCCTCTGCCTCCCTCCCCTGTATGGGCTCAAATCCGACTGAGCACACGCAAGGGAGGAGAACAGGAGAAGAGGTCACTCGGTACCCACTCCCACCTTCCTCACCTCATCCCTTTCCATACTCGCCACTCCCCTCCCCATCTTGCCCCTTGCGCGCGCTCACTACAACTACCACACGGGAAACCCGTGCAATGGCTCGGAGTGTGGTGGTCCTCTTATATAGTGGAAAGTGTTATTATGACCAAAACAACTTTTCAATTCGTAACGGTAACATGGATTAGCCTGCGGTTTTCTTATCGGTTGTTCCCTCCTCCTTTGCTGCGCGTTTCTACTCAAGCGCGCGCTACGCACCCCTCCCCTGCACCCCCTTCGGGGCCCCTCCCCTCTGCCTCCCTCCCATACACGTGCTCAGCTCCGGCTGAGCACGTGCAGGAGAGGGAGGCAGGGCGACCCGGTACCCCCACCCTGCCCCCGCACGAGCACACGTCCAGCTGCCACGCCAGCAGCTCGTGCAATGGCTCGGAGTGTACCGAATGGTTGTCTTATATAGCGGAGGCTGTTATCACAATCAAATCATTGGACTGCTACATCCTCCCAGTCGGTTACCGGTTTGCCTAGCGGTCGTTTTCGCCTCCAGCGAACTCGAACCCGTGAAGTATTTTGCGGACAGGACAAACATACATACATACATACATACATACTGGTATATAGAATGATAAGGATAATTTTGGAATTTCATTTTAACATTCTCTTCTATGAATCTTTTGACTTTCGCTACTTCGCACATACACACTGACTGAAAAGTGGGTTTGGACACATCGGCCGACATCTCGCACTTTTCAAAGGGTTCGTTGCAAACTTTTATTTTCGGAACTTTTTCAACTTCCTCAGTTTCACATCTACACTTCACAGAATGGAGGTACCTATAGACGCGCATTTATGCACTAACACACTAAGCTCCGCCTCTCGCGTCCACTTTGCGTCTCCTTGCAAAATTTCAATTCTTTTTCGACATGTTCGCTGTGTACTCGGGTTGCTCCAGTGAGGAGCTCCGCCTTCTTCGTAGAGTCCACACCCATTTTTAAAAGCGGCACAGCCCTACAGGCACTAGTCTCAATAGCATGTTAGGGTGTCGCTCATCACTCGAAACAAACTTTGCCTGAATGTTGTTTTGTGTCTAGTGCATAAATACGTACGTTTGAGTACCTCCGTTGTGTGTAGTGTGGGTGTGGGATCGCCGAACTTCAAAAAAAACTTACGGAATTTCGAAGTTTGCAACAGATCTTCTAAAAAAATCCGCGAAGTAGGCCAACGTATTCTAGTGAAACCCTTTTTTGTCAGTATGTGCGAAACAGCAAAAGTAAAAAAAAACAGAAGCAGAAGTTAAATTATTACAAATCTAGAAAGTTCATGACGCGCTGAAAACTAGGCGTCGAGGCGGAGCTTGTGGTGATGTCTAGCGCGATCTCGCTGATTAACTGCCCGGTCAAGAAAGTGTGGTGAATTTGATTTGATACATGTGGGTTTGGTTTGAAAAGCGGTGTTGGTCTGAGATCTGATGTCCATCTGAGAGTGTAAAAATTTGTCCTGTATCATAGTTATCCATTGTAGAAATAATTTTTTATTGATTTCAGTTAACAGTCCCGATCTACTTGGCTATACTGGTATTCCCATTACTAAACTTCAAATCGCCAACGTTCTTCACCAAATTCAACATGCTTGGAACAATTTCTATTATTTATTTACTAATATTCAACGGTGCACGTCTTGTAGACTGCGGGATCAATATGAACTTTTGGAACACCACCTCTCCGCACTATGTCCACAGTAAGACTATGATTCTGATCATAGCGTAATTGTCATGGAATGTTCTACTATTATTATCATTACTAGCTTCACTCTTTCAGATTTCAGTTGGAGGTTTCCTGCCTTCACTGGAATGCTCACTATGTCCTATTTTATTCATAATGCTATCATCACTATGCTTCGTAATCAGAGGAATCCAGAGAATAATGTAAGCAAGACGATTCTGCAAAGGCGATGTTTTGCTTTTAATTTTCACGAAAGCATCATGTGCTTATACCGAGCAGGTATCATCGTTTTGGAACTCCCAGCGAGGAAGCCTTATTTGGCCTTGAGATTTATAATGCTAATTATCGGAGAATTGCCAGCTCCCTCGGACGTTTTGAGGATTGGAGTGTTTCTAGATGTATGATCGCAGAGATAAGCATGTACGGCTCACCTTTATGATCCCCATCTCAGAACTCATAGAAACAAGCTGGCCAGTTCTGCCTACTTTGTCATTCAAAACCACAAATTCTATCACATGACTTATCATCCTGGTCAGCTTGTCGCCTGTAGGGTGACTTTTTTCCACTCTCCTGTTATGTATACATATAAACAATGCAGCATGAAAGTTAATTCTTGTAGCTGACTGCGACGAGATGTACTTGCACCATCGCAACCAGTCGGGAGACATGTGGGGGAGGCGAGATGAGTCTACCTCCGGCAGCTTTGTTCTTCGTGATCGGATAGTGATCCATTCAGGGAAAAAAACAACCACTAATTTCAGCATGATGCAGGGGCAGTCAATCTCTTTGAGAAACGATCCGACTGATTGCGGTGATACCAGCTGCATATGAGGATCATTTTATCTGAATCTCACGAAGTTTAACACGGGAACTACTGATTCAGTGTTGAAGAACTCTTCGTTGAGTTTAGGAATTGAATGATCACCTTTCCAAGCGTTCACAAGTTATGCGTTTGTGCTTCACAAAACTCATTGCGTACTTAGTCACCATTGGCTTCTATGCTTCCTCTATTTGTTTAAGAGTTGTACGGCGTTTGGTGCTAGAATATTGGTAGGAATAATTGTGAGTGACCGCACTTCGGGCATGAAATCAGTTTTCGGAAATTTTGTCCACTCTGAGAAACTTGTCCTGCAATTGCGATCGCTACATCTGCTTTCTCCTTCACTGTCGGGTTACTAGCCTCCCTCGCTTTCATTTTTATACTCCACTATGGACAATCGGTATATGAGAAGGTTTGTCATCAAAGGATACCATAATTTTATAATCCACAGAAAACTAGGAATAGAATCACAATGAAACAAGATTATGACGAAGCGGCTAATTTTGCTTGGACTAGCACTCCTACCAACCACTCTGCCTGGGAAATAGACGAGAATACGTCTAAGATAGATAGACCATCGCTGGTTAGCTCTCAAAGTGGAAAAGTCAACAGCTTCACGTGATCATGACATACATAATTTCAAGCGGCGGCATACCATGGAACGATGTCAAAAAGTGTCCTTATTAGAAATAAAGACGCACTCGTGACATTGTCTCAAGACATTTGTCGAATATTGTGTGAGTATCTAAAAATACTTTACAAACAACGGGAAGCTAAAAAGCTACAACTGTCTGAGAACGAGTGATACTTGCATGAAAACCTTAAGATAAAAAATGTTCTCGTTAAAGACATGAACCTATCTCTTCAAATGGAATTGAAAAAAAGAAAGTGCTGAAGTTCAAATTTGCTGCTTCAGCCATTTGTAGAAACAACTTTTAACACTGAGAACATAGAAGCACATTTCACAAAAGGTGAGTTGTGCCTGGTTATGGCTCTAATGATAGTGTAGGAACTGTCCAAGGTGGTGAAGCAAGAAGTGTACTTCACAGTTGGTGCTAGCTGCTTACCAGTAACAAGTTGTTGAGAGTAAGGGCATGGCTGAGCTCTCGCTTGCTCATATCACATCAAATTCATACAATGATCGATAAGTTTTCAGGTACGAGATCTCTCCATCGGGTTCGGACTTGTGGCGTTTAGTTATACTTTTGTGGCACTAACTTTCTATGTTGCTTTTCCATTGCCAAGGAGTTGCATCGGTGATGTACGTGAATCCAAAATAGCGTCGTCAAAGCAAGTTCTTCCTTACAAGAACTCTTTCAGAACCTCCTGAACAATTTTCAAGCCAACAATCCGATGAGCGCTGTAGCGCGAGTGCTGATTTTCTTCCAATTGCTGACGATACTTCCTCTTATAATGTATCTCATTCGTTCACAGATTTCCTGTGCCTTATTCGATACACCATGGCCAGGGTAAGATGATCCGTTTCTCAAACATGTTTTAAATAAGATGAAAGGAACAGAAACATGGATCGCATCCACAAAAATCAAGCATTGATATAAATATTTGGTGCTATTCGGCTCGGAGGGAGGTAACATTTTCGTTAGTTGCCTTAAGGGTTCCAGTTAAATTACACGTCTTAATAGGAACGTGTAATTTAACTGGAACCAGCTAAGGCAACTAACGCGCTGTTGCATAGCTTCACGGGATTTCACGAGTTCACACGAGACATCATCAGTATTCAATGGGAACTAGCAAAATGCCCTTACAAGCCAAACGGAGGAGTAGGAGGGTTTGTGGAATCGTGTGGAGATGTTGGTGACGAAAATCAGTGACACACTAAACTGCTAGCCTAAGTTATCAAGCGGCTTCGGATATTAGCTTACCAGCTAGGATAATTTGTCATGCCCATAGAAACCTTTGAAACCTGTTTAAATGATAGCTCTAATGACAAGCATACAAGGAGTATAGCAAAGAACCTTCACCATCTGTGCACAATGTCACTCTTCGCTTCACTTTGATTTCCATACCTTCTCTTATATCCTTTTCCTTTTGATAATATGTCTCACTGGAAGGGGCGGGGATGTCGCTAGCTTGTATTCGCGACTATGGACTCTTGACCACATCACTCTTGGGTTGGCTGGATGATACCATTGTGGACGGGCGAGTGAGTGCCCCACCATTCATTCGTCGTGTTTTCAGAAGTGTAATAATCACCAGATTGGCAAAAATCCATTGAAGAGGAGAAATATGATGAAATGGGCCGTATCTAGGAAGTAGAGTAAGTGTTAGGGATGCACAGAAATCATGTCACTGATCAGTACTATAGATTTGGCCATTCGCGCAGTGGTTCTCGTCAGCAAAAGTTGTGAGATCAAAAGGCCTCAGCCTGCTCGTTAATTTGAAGTCTTTCCACGGCCTTGGAGCGGGAAACTGCCGAATGGCAAAGATTCACACGGGTTCAATTAATTTACATCTATTTACATTTTTTATTTACATTTCATTTACATTGGTTGCTCTTCAGTTCTAGCCTTCGTCCTCGCCTGATCGGAATTTGCAGCATGCATCGCCTCAGTTGTCATCCGCATTAAGAGTTTGCGTATTGATCGAATTCCAAAGCGCATGCAAGAAGTGGCAAAGTGCCAGGAGCACCGCGCGCGACACGCGCCCCGCAGATGGCCGATAGATGACAGGTGTGATTTTGAGATGCTAGCGACGTACAGCGTGTCTGCGTGCGTCGCAAGCTGCATTTTATTCTGAGTATGGAAAAGTTAGCCTACCGTACGGTCTTGAATCCATATCCCCGTGCATGTTCGAGCGAGCTACGCTTCGAAATCCGTTCACCCCGTTCAGGTGCCAAGGACGCGCCTTGTAGCTTAACGTGTGATGTGCCTGTGAAGGAAAATGCAAGATTTTGCCCTGTGCGGATGACATCGTTGATAACAAGGTTCCAGAAACCATATAATGAAGTTTCAGAATCCTAAGCCTACTTCACTGGTTTTAGCGAATGAGTACGAGAAATTTTTTACTATTTTTGCCGTAAGAAGGATTGACCACTCATCATCATTGCCGATATAGTCTTACTTGCAGTTGAAAACATGGGGTGGGAGTCCTAGAACTGCGACGGCTAGTCCCATTTATCAAAGTTTCGAGCTTTTGAGAATCGTTGCAAGTGGTTTAGTGCGATGAATGGCTAGAGTTTGTGGGCATTTTTATTGCAAAAAAGCACACGAACCTTTCCTAGTTTTTGAGGAGGAGGACATGAAAAAGGTCGGGAGCCGGAAATACCCTTCCCGAGATTTTTCTACCCCTTTGGAGGGAGGGTCTGCGATTAATCGAAAATGTGAAACCTTTTTTGGAAAATTTAGTGTGGCCCGCATTGGACTTGGATCAATTTCTGGAGGAAAAGACGCCAGAGCGGAAGATGCCCCAGCGACACCTTCCCTATTCCAGCGACTTCGGCTCCAGACTGCGCTCGAAGTACTCCCTCTAACAAAAAAGAATGCTGCCGGACTGGTAGCATGGGAGAAAGCCCTGTTGGGGCATTTTTCTTTACTGGCGAGTCCTTTAGCTACTTCTCTCCCATATTTCAACACCATAGCTGCGTGTCCTATCGCGGATTCCGTATCTAGTGGTGGTGTACCCACAACTTTTATTTCGGTCTATTTCTTGTTCTGTGTTGATGATCTTCCGCTATATAAACTCGTGAACAGCAAGTGTTTGGGCATGATTTTACGGCGGTCTCTTGGTAACAAATTTTTAAATTCCTTTGCTTCAGCCCCAGAGGGCTCTGGATGGCAGTGAAAATAGGATCGGACAAGTTCCCTGATCGGATCGATATCGATCAATGTCGGCGTATATATTTCATCAGTGCTTACAAGTAAATTCGATTTACCCGTAGAGCGTTGAAACTAAACGACAGATAGTGCTGATGAAACGGCAACGAGGACCATTGAGGTTGAAAATGTGGGTGCTGTCCAAAGTGAAAAATTGCTGACCGATAGCAAGTAAATGCTAACAAAATTGATATTAATTAAACGCCCCAGATCGTCGTCTTGATGAATTGTGGACTTTTTTCAGTAGAGTGAGGGTCTTGCTACTTAATGCTGTTATCGTGTGCATCGGTGTATTGACAGCGATCTTTATTCCCAGTGTCAGCAGTATAATCCGGTATCGTCAATTATAGTTTGCAACAAAAGTAAGTGAATAAGGATATTTTTGCTTTCAGATACTTCGGTGCCTTCTCGGGACTGATGTATGCTTATGCACTCCCATGTTTGGTACACATGCGAATCGCAAAACTCGAGGGAAAACTTTCAGCCCTCAAAATAGTCATTCATGTTTCAATAATTGTTTTTGGAGTCGCTGACCTGATCGCACAGTTTCTCATATGATAGCTCTTGCGCAAGGTACTGCGAAATAGTGGGTAGTGAGGAGGCATTCCGCGTCTATCAGGTAGGTAGAAATCGCTACAGCCACGCCAAGTGCAGCTTTGTGCTGTTATATCAGTAGCAGCTTGACAGCTTCTCAGTTAGCGCGTTGAGTTTCTCTTTGCCTCTCACTTCCTCGCATAATTTCCAAATCTCCAAATCGACTCCAAGAACTAGCATCTTGGTTGATGCCGTTGCCGTGCTCTCTTCTCTGCTATTACGTTGACTAAGACCTGCATATTCATTCTTGAACGACACTACCTACAATGAGTAGTCGCGGAATGTGTCTCCAGAGTATAAAACACCCTAAACCGACTCAAAGCTGGTGGTATAAATTTAGCGGCTTATAGAAGCAGGCTAGAGCTCTGCTTCATCGGCTGAATCGATCGATTAGGCAACGACATGCTTCCGTAAATGCTCAGCTTTAGCTCACTGCAAGCCTTTGTTCGGTAGACGGCGAACATATCATTTCATTCTCTTACTATTAGTCCAAAGCAAATTCAAATGTTAATGCTGAAAGAGTATCGAGTGGTGAAGGTGCACGATTTGCCGGATATTGCACCTGATGCAAAAATTTGTCTCCTGAACTGCCGCGCGATTTTGACGCACCGTGTCGCGCATATCGGACACGGCTAATTAGAGGTACTCGTTGCGCTGCGTGGTCAAGTTATGCAACCAACCTTTTTTCACAGATAGGGGGAGAAACGTTATTTATTCGCAATGGTCTTCCGGGCGTATAAACAGAGTTTTATTGTTTTGTCTCCCTGCTATAAAAGCAAAGCTGATCTTCATAAGTGCCTTCAAACATACTGTTGATTTAGGCCCTCCCATTATCTGCAAGCCTTTAGAATAACGCGACTGTGAAGTATACACCAACCAGCTTGAGTGCTTGTGTCTGTAACATGCATCTAGTTGACGGTTATTTGGAGCTTTTACGCGTTCTCAACCTTCCAAAGAGTCACCTATAGAGTTGACACTTGTTACATTGTGGAGCTATATAAATTTCGTTATGTGTAGTTGTGTTTATTCGAACAATATATTTTATTTATCCTTCGAAATTTCCCTAGGAGGATGAGCAGTATCAACCAATCTCTATATCTGTTGCGCATTTTCTGAACGTTCCAGTGCCTGATTGCTCAATACGAGATTTAACGAATTTTCTTCTTGACTGATGTCACAATACATGTGTGGTGTTAAGAACATTAAATCTTCAGAGCAGGGTAAATTGTATGATTATGAGGTGATTGAGTGATGTTCTTCGATACTTCATAAACAGTTAACTCCACAGGAACTTCTGTTGTGAAAAGATTTAAGAAACATGTATAACAATTTTCTCCATAGCGCTATTATGTTCGATTCAGAAAACACAGTTTGAAAAGAAACACTTCCAATCACCTTAATGAGCCATCGAAGAGGGCACAGCAGCCTTGCAAGAAGTGATAATAAGGTGCAAATTCCTACATGTTCTGACATCTACAAGAATGAGAGTTTGCCATATAGCGCTAGTTACTTTAGTTCTGATCAGAGCTTTGCATAGTTAAAACTGTTTCGTTATCGGCCCGTTTCACAGACATAAACTATGTTCAGTCTCGGGCCCATATTGGGCGAGAATGATTCATCAAATGATGCATTACTTGGAACAATTTACAAGTTAACAGAACTCAATTTTGTGAACCAAAAAGATCGAGGTGGCACGAAGAATAAGGTGAGGGCCGAAAAAGTGAGCTGGTGAATTGCAAGATAACTGGTAGAATGGACCTAATAAGGGTGCTCCGAGAGGTCTCATACTATTACCCTTCCCCCCTCGCCACCTAAAGGGATGGGTGCTTCCACCCAGGTTGCTCCTCTGACGACGACCCACTCCTGCATCCTTTGTGTTAGCCTATGCAGCCTTGACTAGGGCACAACAATGGGTGGGAATTTTGATCAAGTCCGCACGACCCCTCTCCTCTCCTCTGATCGAGCTGTCGAGCAGGGGTTATATAGCACATGAGAAACGGGGAAACCCCCTCACCGCATGCGCTACTCGGGTATCACAACGCGCCAACGAACTAACCAGGCTTTCTTTCCACACGATGAATTGGGAAAATAATTATAATTTGTAACAATATAGTTCTCATTCTGATAAGGTCTGCGGGTGAAGGATTTGTGTGAATAAGATCTGCAAAACATCAACCCAAAACCATAGTGATACTGTTAAGCCGCCATTCAATTCGGCACCGCCAGCAATGTACTACTGGCAACCTTTGATTGCTCTCTACTCGCTTGCGAAATTCAGGCACTAGTTTATGTTTGCATATTTATTGCCATTGTTCCAGGCTTTATCAATGTGTCTAGCTCTCCCTTAATGTCCGGATAATTCGAAGGTCTTTCTGTGTAAGTACTTGGAAAAAGAATGTATAGATCATTGTAATCAGAATGAGAATTATATTATTAAAAATTATTATTATTGAATCAGTAAACGTGCCTGATCTTTGTGCATTATCCAATTTATCGTGCTTATCAGACAAAGCTACCTATCAGGCAAAGGATATGACGGGGACCACACCGACGTATTTACAGTGCCCATTATGTTCTCATTCTTCATGTATCACGATTGTCGAATTCAGAATGAAGTGAATAGGATAAGATGTTTACATTCATATAAATGAAGTTATAGAATGTGAGGTAGGTGGGGATGACCGATTACTGCCACTGAAGACGTGCCGATTCTCTAAATACGATGGCCCCCAGATATACGCGGATATGATCACCATCGAACAATGTCATGGCAGGCAGCTTATAGATGCGGTGTTTTTTCGCAATTGACGGGTTGAGCATGATACGGTGAGAATAACGAACAACTGACGTTTAACGCGTTATCCAGGTATGTCGTAGGTGTGTAACTGCGTATGTTGTTCACTCTGTATCCGATAGAGTAGTTGTAGTTGCATACTTAGTGAACATGTGCTAATGGCCCTACAAAAACTGGTATTTTACAACAGCGAAATGATTCGCTCTTCGCACTTGTAAAGTAAGACACTCTATTAGTGAAGATGAAGCCTGACAAAGTCGATTATTACTGTAAGGTGGCGAAATCCTCGATACCGCTGTCATGAGCGATACTGAGTCCAAAACAGCGACCCCTCTCATCATGGGATAAAGAGTTCATATAAAGTGCTAGTTGTACCTCTGTATCCGAGATAGATTGCTCGTAAATGCGTTCTTCTTGAACCGGGAGGCATAGCCTTGCAAAAATTTGTAGTTCACACCAACAATGTGATTCGCTGTTTGTATTTAAAAGCCGAGGAATTCCCGTATTCTCCCTTTCTCATTATCACTGTATACCACCAAATAACAACTCACAATTTCTGTGTTTCTCTAGGCTACATACTATATCAAGTCCCGTAAGTGAGAACAACCCACATACCACATATGCACATATCATAGAAGTGCCTTAGAAAGAGCGAGTAAGTAATCTGCGAAGCACGTGTGCGGGTTTCGGTGGACGTCTGAGTCGGCATGTTGCACTTTGATCAGGCGCTATAACTGTGCCCTCAACCACTTTCCTTCGAAAAAAAGGCAGATGAAAAAAATCAACGCTCACACGTCAGCAACAAGGAGAACCCTGTTTCCATAGAATTCCGAAATGCGAAATAGCCGAAATATCTAGTTGAGGGCACGTTCTGCTACAAGCTAAGGCTACAACTTCATAAATGTGTCAGATGATCCGGGAGGTGATTGTAGAGGTTGCACTGCATTCAAAACTTGGAAAAAACGAAACACGTAAAGCGCAGGAAATTTCGATTTTGAACCCAAGGAGGCCCATGCCGGCCTTCCTTGCCCGTGCCCACAGTGAGAGCGACTTTTCATACTTTTTCGTTCACTACTAAGGCAACTAGCACAATGCACTCCTGCTTTCGAACTCTGCTACCTATATTTATGCTTTCAAACTTCACACGAGGTGGTACACAGTGAGCGGCTAACGTTTTGGGACCTTTGAAGAAAGCAATCGTGCCGAAACGTTAGCCGCTCACTGTGTATACCAACAAGTTTGAAAGCAAATAAATATTCAACGATTATGCCGAAGTTCATCGAGAGCCGGACATGGCGTCTGCTACCTATGTTGTGCAGTCGCGAGAAGTGCCTTCAAATAGCGCGGCATTCCCACCCAAATGCTTCGAGACTACGATTCTAGGCCCAAGGAGGCCCATGCCGGCCTACATTACCCGTGTCGTCATAATAATGTCGTTTTGCTCTCTCGTCCGTAATTTTCTGGCTCCTTCCGCGCTTTGGTCACCTGCTGCATATCACTGTTGATCTTGACCATCCTACTCTCGTCCGATGATCATGATCAAGTGCAAGGAGGAGGGTCATATTGAGGACGGTTTTTCATACTTTTTTCTTCACTACTAAGTCAACTAGCACAATGCACTCCTGTTTTTGAACTCTGCTACCTACGATGTGCAGTCGCGGGAAGTGCCTTCAAGCTGAAATCGCATCAACCAAACACGTATCAACGAATAACCGATGTGAGGCCGATTCCACGCCAAGTATACCCTTGAGTTGCAATAAATATAAGTCCAAGTGTACTGAAAAACATGTTAGACAGAAACGTACCAGACGCAAGGACCAGAAGTGCGGAAGGCATTACAGCCAGTGCCGTGCCTGAGCTGCTTTTCATGCCTGCTGGAGAGACAAATTATAAAAATCGAAGTGCAGGCTGGCTAATAAGTATTAGCGCATGGCCTACCGATTGCATTTTCTCTATTTCATCTTATTTTATCACCCACTATATCACTCACTTTGTTTGTTGTTTGTTCCTTGTTTGATTGTGCCCAGAAATTCGGACACTATGCGTAGCCCCGCCCACATTGAGCGGGGCATGCGCCGAAAGTTGGCATTGCCGCAGACAAAAATTCATAATTCACTCAGAGCAGCCTAGAGATGCGGATGGAATAAGGTTAGCAAGGGACTGTCAGACT